GGGAAGCACTGCTGTGATGTCCTCCTCAGTCCTTCCTGTGTGCATCATCCCAGTTCCTCCTGACTCATCAAACACGTGGTCAGCACGGGCTTAGGAATCAGTGTCCCTACAAAGCGAGAGGGCCAGCCACTCTCCCCTCCTCCCATTTCTCTCTAGGGTCCTCGGAGCATCTTATTTTAAACCTTCAAACACTTTCTTGGCAAAAACTATCAACCCACTCTCCAGAGCAGTAATCTCAAGTATCTTCAAAAGGCATTCTACCTCTGTAGCCCACCCCGGACCCTATTTCAATGGCTTCCTGGAAATTTAATCTTTTTATGGTGACCAATTGCTTTTCTGTCATCCTTTTTGCTGGGAGAGAAAAGCAACGGCAAGTACACAGGTTTAATCCATGGCAGAGCATCCCATGACATGGCTCTGGAATTCAGCATGTATTTTGGGCCCATACTATATGTTGACTCATGTCTGGAGCTGGGGACATGGTGATAAATCAATATATTACCTTGGCCTGAAAGAGTTAACAGTGTGATAAACAAGAAGGACCCATCAACAGGAAACATTACAAGGAAATCTGAAATGGGCAAAAATGGAATGATAGGAGGGAGAGTCAAAATCTCCCGAGTGTGGCTGGGTCCCGGTGGACAGGACGTTTCCTGGCGTTCAGCAAGGAGCAATTGTGGAGAACCGGCTTGTAGACCAGAGGCGGAGCTGAAAAAAAGGCTTAGTATGAAACAGTGCATCACTCCAAGGAGGCGGTTTGTGCCGGATCACAGAGTGGGCACCGTGGGGAGAAGACAGGAGACGAGCCCCAGGATGAGCAAGAAAGGACTTTGAAAATTAAGATAAAGAATCGGAGGTATTGCCCAGACGGTGGCGGGACTTTCAAAGGGGCCCAAGCGGTAATGTTTTAGAATGTGCTGGGAAAGATGACCTTGGAGCTGGAAGGCCAGTCCAGAGGCTGTGACGAATGCCTAGAGAAGAGGCATTTCTGACCTGTACCAGGGAGACAGTCTGGGAGCAGGGAAGAGAAGGTGGTTTTGAGACATGCTATGAGAAGAGGGATGAGCCCAGGTTGACCCTCCGTTATTGGCTGGAGGTACTGCGTTGATGGGGGTGATGCTCACTGACATTGGGGATGCAAGTAATCTTGGGGAAGAAAGGATCACGCGCACACACACAGACACACAGACACACACATTTTCTTTGCTTTTAATCATTTATATATGGGTTTGTTTCACTCAACATTCCTGTGAACTTTTAATTCAATTCAACAAATACTGACTGACTTATGTTATCTGTAAGATACTGTGTTAGGCACTAACACAGTAGAAAGGTGATGATTATTTTGTCTCTAGAAGGTCTTTCACCTCAATTGTGATGGATTTGGCAGCTCTAAGACCAATCTTGTGTCGATAACAAAATCCATTAAGCCTTGAGTGAGGACTTCAGGCCATCGTTCCGATCATACAGACCAGAACCATCTTAGTATCAAAAATAACAGACTTGGTGTCAAGCCCTGAGTATAATTTTCAGTGTAAAATACACAGTTACCGTAAGTATAGAGTGTGGAATTTAATTCATGGGCTTGGTGACATTCTATATAGATGGCCCCAACTACCTTAATCAAATGTGGATGTTGACTTGAATCTTAAGATTCCTAAGACATTGTCAAAATTCTTAAGAGCTGGGAGGGCCACTTCCTTTGTATCCTCACAGCCCGTTGTGAGTTATTACTTCATAGCACTTGAACCGTATTAATTGTAATTGTGTTTGTCTTCACCATTAAGCTATGAGCCCTTTGAAGTCATCGACCGGGGCTTTTCATCTCCTTCCTCAGCATTTACGCAGCACGTGGTTTGGAGTGAGTGTTTATTAAACTTAATTAAACCTTCAAAAATCTATCTTCTGTGTCCTCATTTTGCAGATGGGGAAATTGAGGCTTCAAGAGAGGACTGATTTATGCAAGTTCAAATAGGGAAGTAACAATAGAATGAAAAATAAATCCCAGTTTATTTGGATTGCTTAACATTTTTGTGGCCGTCTTCTCCTCCCGCCCGCCTTGGTTTGCTAGTTCATTAGCCAGAAGTTGGAAGCATTTATAAGTAGTGGCAACGAGAACGTTCTTTGTTATGAAAACCAATGGCCATGCAAATATAGCCCTTAGCCCTGTATTAAGTACAGGATTTGTTTCTTAAGTCCCTTCACTGACTCAAAAGCCAGGAGTCAACAATGGCCCCAGTGTAAGGTTTCAGTGCCTCAGAGAACACACACAGAGGCGCACAAACAATGCATCCGCACGTGATCAGGCCGAGCAGCTGAAAAGGATGTTTTGGATGAAATCTTGGCTTGTACCGTTCCTGTGCGACCTGGGAAAGTCGAAGGTGCCAGGATTCGGATGGACTCCAGTTCACGGCCTCGCTCCTCTGCTCTTCTGTGAATGGACGCGACACCCATCTCCAGGGACAACTCTGAGAATTCAAAGGAGGAAGAGTCGTTTCGTCACAAAGCTGCTCTGTTGCCTTGGCCCAGCCAGCCAGTCTCTCTGAGCCACGATATCTGCTTGGGTAAAAATGCATTAGATGAGATGATTTGCAGAGTCCCTGGAAGCTGGAGCGTGCTGCGCCTCTCCTCCCCTGAGAGCTCCCTGGATTCGGGATGGAGTGTTGCAAGGCCTGAAGGCGTCAGGGAAGAGCGAGCCTTCGCTGACACAGCGCTGGCCTCTGCTGCCTTTTCGGGGCCCCCCGTTTGATGTAGGCCTTTTATCAGGGCGCGTTTGCGCTCTGTCCAGGGTTTGCCTGGCCACTGCGCAGGTCCCTATTCTGTCCAGTGGATGTGGAGAAGCACAGACAGGATTTCTTCCCAAGAGCTGCTTGGATGGTGAAACTCACCAAGTCCAGAGAGATTTTCTGTTCTGTTTTCCACAAGCTCAAGTGACTGTTGATTACAGAACACACACACGCGCGCACGCGCACCCGAGCCTGCGTGCGTGCCGCAAAAACAAAAACACACACACAAACAAAACAGGATGTTCCCTCTCCTCCCCTCGCTGGAGTCTAAGGCAGCCTCTTACCATCTGCGTCACTTTCACCCGTGGCCCTGGATTGCACCATTATGGTAATTAAGCCCTTCCTGCTGGCGGGAGATGTTAGAGGATCCTGAGCCCTGAGCCTGGCGCATGTTAATTTCAGTGAGGGGGAACCTGCAAGTGGGGGGAGAAAACAGTCTGTCAGTCAGCAGGACTTCATGCCGTCCCATCTGGTCTCGGGCCTGCTGAGAGTGCCCCCTCAGATGCCGGGAGGAGAACAGACATTTGTTCCCAGCCTAGTTTCTGACGTGTAGCAGGCACAATGTTACTGCTATGTGCCGGATCCTGGCTCGCATACCTGATATGCAAACATTGGGTGGGGTATATTTACACACACACACACACAAAAAAGCTGTTATTTACCTGAAATTCAAATTGAACTGGGCGTCCTATTTTTATTGACTAAATCTGGCATCCCTACTTGTGGGGTTAATCTACCGCCCTGCGTGGTTAAATAGAAAAGACCTGAGTTTAGGAGGCTCAGAGGTCTGGGCTGGGATTCTACCTCCACCATGTGCTTGCTGTGTGATCTTGGGAAAATTGCTTCACTGCTCTGATTCCTGGTTCTTTTAACTGTGAATGAGGATTGTGCCATCTGTATCTCAGGACTGTTGTGAAGGTTACATTTTTAATGCCTTGAAACACCTTACTCTGTGTAATTAAGTGCTCTGTGAACATTCGCTTTTATTAAAATTATTTTTTTAATATGTTTGGTTCATTGTTCTTAATTCGAGGGAAATTAGATCATTTGTGCATACCCTGGGAAAGGACGTGGGTAAGAATATATGGTAAAAATAATTAGAGCCTCCTAATCAGAGGCACTGGGAGAAATGTGACGGGCTTACGCACTAGCATCCTTGTACACACCTTCTTCTAGCTCTGTGCTCTGGGTAGCCAAGGAGGCAGACCCCAGACCCACCTTACACAGCGCAGGATGGAAATAGCGACACCTTGGTAATCAAGTGTCCGTGATTATAGGCAGTGTGGAGCTTTCATTTACAAAGTGCACAGAAAGTTAAAAAAAGGAAGGAAGGGAGGCAGGGAGGGAGGGGAGGGACATTGTTTGTTACCTTGCAAAGGTGTAAGAGATCAACATTCTCTGGAAGCCCTAAGTTTTAAAAAGAGCTGTGAAACCTTCTGATTCCCCAGTGCCTGAAATGTCAGAGACTACCTAGTCGCAAAGCCAAAAATATTTACTGCCTGGCCCTTTACAGAAACTATTTGCTGCCTCCTGAATTAGAGCGCATTCCCGGGAGCGGAAACTCACACCGCTGGTGGAAATGTCGGTGGTTTCAGGAAGGTGGATGGCGGCGTGGAAAGGGGTGTCAGACGAGTGGTGCTGGATGAATCTGGGCAGGTGGGCAGGAGCCAGAGTAAGGAGTTTAGACTTTATCTTGAGGGCCACGGGGGAGCCTCTGAAGGTTACTGAGCAGGGGAGTCAGACTCCTACACAAAGCAGCGCAGCAGGGTGTTTAAGAAGACAGGGCCTGGAGCCAGAATGCCTTGGAGCAGGTCCCAGTGCCTTCTCTTACTAGCTTTGAACCTCAGGCAAGTTACCTCCTCTATGCCTCAGTTTTCCAGTTTGCAGATGGGAAATAATGATAATTATCTTCATGCATACCTATCATGTGCAGTGGTGAAGAGGAAGTGAGTTGAGGCAGGTACAGTGCCAGGCCCAGAGGAGGTCCTCAATGGATCCCATCCTGATGGTCCTTCTGGCCGCTGGGTAGAGAAAGGCTCCGAGTGGGAACACCTGGTGGTAGAGTGCTAGGTGGGGGTTTAGGCACCAGGGGGTGCCCTGTGCCTGCGAGGGTTGCTGCTAAATTTTGGCCGGGGACTATCACGGCCGTTGGTATCTTCACTTTCAACCTCCCCACCACGGCCATCATCTTCTCTTCTGTCTCCTTTCTCGCAGGCCTTCAGGAGCGCGCTGATGAGCTCCTACTGGTGCTCAGGGAAAGGGGACGTGATCGATGACTGGTGCAGGTGTGACCTCAGCGCCTTCGATGCCAGTGGGCTCCCCAACTGCAGCCCCCTCCCGCAGCCGGTGTACGTATGTATGGCCCCTCCGCCTTGGCCACCCCTCTCCATGGGCACACACTCCAGCCCTGGCAGTCCAAGCCATGATTTGCTTCTGTTCCCACGGGCCTGCCTCCTTTAAGAAAGCGGGGAGCTTGGGCAGGGTAGACACTGATCTTGCGGCCCCCGTTGTTTTAATGATGTCCCTCGGTCCATCATTGCTTCCTTGACTCCTCCACTCAGCAAAGGTTCACTGGGCACCGACTACCATGTGCCGTCAGTGCCTGTGTGGGACACTGGGGATACTGAGATGAAGAAGGTATAGAGCCTTTTCTAAGAAAGTTCATTTTATTCATTCATTCCATAAGTAATTTTTGAACACCTGCCCTGTGTCAGACACTGGGGAATTTATCAATCAATGAATCAGGCACAGTCTGTGCACTTAGGGAGCTGACCGTTTGGTGAGGGGAACAAATGTCAAAGCAAAAACAGGAAAGTAAGATATAGTGAAAACAGTTAAGTAATGAAAATATGAAAGAAAAATAAAGAGATGCTAATAGAGAGAGTAATTTGGGGATGCTTTAGTTGGAGGGGAGGGAGGGAGTCAGGGAAGCCTGGATGGGAGGCAAGAGTCACATTTCAGAAGAAAGAGCCCGTGTGAGAGCCTGGACTTGGGAATCCACGCTGAGGGGGCGGAGGAAGGGCACCTGCAGGAGGAGCGCCATCGAGAGGGAGGGCGGTGTGGGGAGCCCTGCAGAGCTGGGCAGGGGCCCGCCGTGGGAACCAGAGCCCCGTAACACCCCTCTGTGGGGTGAGTGGAATTGCGTTGCAAGATGGTCCTTAGAGAGGTAGTGTGGTGTGGTGGAAAGACAGAAAGAAACTGGGCTAAGGACAGACAAACCTACCGTCATGGTTCTGTCCCCAAGTGGCTATGTGACTTGGTGCAAATCATTTCCCTTTTCTGGGCCTTACTTTTCCCATCTGTCAAATGGGAGAATGCCACTTCCCTCTCTCTAAAGACCCTTCAATCATTCTGTTATTGTTATTATTATTTATTATTATTATTTTGCTCCATAAAAGCATTTCCCAGGATTCCTGACCTCTGTGAGGGAGTATTGATTTAAGGATGTTAAAGAGAGGGATTGAAAATGGCAGAGAGATTGAAAGCTACAGTGTTTGAAAGTGCCGCCAATTGATCTGACAGCGAGGCATCATTAAGAATATAATTTAAATAAATAGAAAGCCAATCAACTGCCTGTGAGCACACGCTGTGTGCTTGGCTTGATTTACCGGATTCCACATTGATTCTGAAAGGTAGCTCTTCTTAGCCCCATTTTACAGACAAGGAAACGGAGGCTGAAAGAAGCCTCAAGAATTGCCTAAGTTCACACAAGGTGGTGGCGGAGGGTTGAATTAGGGTTTGAACCCAGGCTGAGGCCTGTGCTTTTCATCTTGACACACACAGACTCTTTGGGGGTTCATGCTGGCTGGCAAACAAACGCCCTTGCCTGTCACCCCCTCTAGGCTGCGGCTGTCCCCAACCGTGGAGCCCTCCAGCACCGTGGTCTCCTTGGAGTGGGTGGATGTTCAGCCGGCCATCGGGACCAAGGTCTCTGACTATATTCTGCAGCACAAGAAAGTGGAAGAGTACACGGAGACGGACCTCTACACGGGTGAGTGGAAGCCCACGGCCGGCCTCGCATGAGGGCCGTGTCACGGAGGAGGGAGGCTGGGCGTTTCTGATGCCTTTGGGGACTCCGCATCATCTGACCCGAGAGGGCACTGGGAGGTTTCGTTGTTTGGTGGTTGCCACCTGGCTCCCACGCCTGTGTGCTCTTGTGTATGATTTCATAAGGGAAAGATAGCAGATTGCAGATAGTTGGAAAGTTCCGATTCTCTGAGTTGGATCCTCAAAGCCACATATCAAGTGGCTAGTTAATGCAGAAGGGGATCTGACCTTTCCTGGAGGTCATCTCTGGGACTGAGATAAAGAGATTCAAGCAGTTGCCTTATCTAGTGAGACGTGCTGAGATAGTTGTCCTTAGTGCTGTGTAAGAGGAGTTTGGAAAAGATGCAGACATGCAGGAGAAGAGCAAAGGGTTACACGTATTTGGTTGTACCTGAGAGTGCTCTCTGAGTTCTTCTAAAAAAGTCTGACCCAGCTGAGAAGCTATATCATCCTGGAGGTTGGGTCTGTCCCAGCAGGTCTGGCTTTAGAGCAGGTTGGGAGCCTGGGTCCGTGGGAGCTGGCCTTGAGCCTGGGCCCATGGGGGCAGGCCTGGTGCTGGGGTGTCAGGGGCCTGGGACCATGGGAACTGGCCCGGTGCTGAGTTGGGTGTAAAGCCTGGGTCTATGGTAGTCAGCCTGTGTTGGGCCCAGCCAGGAGCCTGGGTTTGAGGGTGCTTATCTGGAACCTGGGTTTACAGAAGCTGATTAGGAGACTAGGCCACAAGGGCCGCCTGAGGCCATGGGAGCTGGATAGCACTGGGGTAGGTTAGGGGCCTGGGTCTCTGGCAGTCCACTGGGAGCCTGGTGCTGCGAGAGCCAGCAGCCACTGGGGTGAGCAGGGACCCGGGTTCACAGAAGCCTACACCTTGTCGGAGCCACCTACAGCCGTGGGGGTCAGCCTGGTGCTGGGGTGGGGCTGCTGTGGGGTCCTCGGCGAAGTCAGATAATCACTTCTCTCTCCTCCCACAGGGAGAGTTTCTCTCTCTGCACTGGGCTGCCCCTGGCTTGGGGAGGGGTATGGGAGTAATGTGAATCCATCTTTCCTACCCTCCTCAGTGCATCTTTTCTTATTTCTGTGGTTTACCCAGGTGCTATAACCCTTCACCTATAAACCTTAGTTCTTGTGAAGGTATTTTCGGGCATGGATTGTGGTCCAAATGGATTTTTCTGGGGCATGGTGGGATGGAGGAGGGGAACGAGTGCTGGAAATTCCTGTGGCACCATTTAGCTAATATCACCCTCTGAATGATTTCCAACCTTGTTTTATGATCAAATAAGTGAATCCCAGAGAGGTGTGTGATTGTCCCAAATTCCCACAACCCGTGCAGGTCGAGCCGGGCTTTACAACCCAGCCTGTCGTGCTCCCAGCTCAGTGCTCATTCTATGTAACATCTCGCTTAAGGGTAGAAGACTGAATGCTAGCTTGCCGAGAGGTTTCCATTCTGTTTTGTTTCCATTAGAAATGACTATTTAATGTTCTGTGTCTATTGAAATGACTGTGTGGTTTATGTCTCTGAGTTTGTTTATATGGTAAATTTCATGGATGGATTTTCAAATGATGAAGAGCCTTGCACTCCTGGAATGAGGAAACCCCACCTGGCCACGATGCCTTATCTTTTTTGTATATTGTTGGACTTGATGTGTTAAAACTTGCTTAGCATTTTTGCATCTGTGTTCATGAGGGATTCTGCCCTGTAGTTTACTCTTCTTGTAACGCCTTTGTCTCTTTTGCTATCAGATTATTTTGGCCTCACAAAATGAATTGCAAAAAGAAAAAAGATTTACAGTTGTTCATATGGAAAAAATAATACAGTAATTAATAAACAGTAATACAAGAATAAGCTCTGTTTCATGTGCTCACAACTGTAAACTTACTTTTGCCCCACTCGGTATTTTTGAACTGTTTTGGGGCACAGTTTCTTGGATACAGTTTGATTCTTTTGGGTCTTGCTTTTAAGATTTGTTAGGTAGAAGCAGAGCAGTGTTTAGTCTAGGGCTAATTACTCCTAATACCGAGGCAACACCCTTCTCTGTGCTCTCTACAATGGCCCGTGAATTATGAGGTTTTCCAGTGTGGCTGGTGGAACAGGAACTGATTCTGGCCCCTTAATGAGCAATGGGCGCTGCTCCATCTAAACCTCCGAGGTTGGTAGGTTCCTCACATACATTCATCAGTCACGATTCTGCTGAATATTGAAAGGGGACCCTCCACAGATCTCTCTAATTTTCTATCTGTACAGCTCTCTCCCCTCCATTACTCTACCCTGTAAACTCCAGTCCCTCGAGTCGCCCCGGGCGGAAAACTCTGTCTTCTCAGTTAAGAAAACCTGCCAGGCATCCTGCTCCCTGGAATCTCTCTAAAGACAGAAATCTGAGGAAATTTTAGGGCTCAGGTAATTTGTTTCCCATCATCCAGGATCGCTGTCCTTTGTTGCCGGAGTTCCAGTTTGAAAACTTGTTTTATGTACATTTATTGTTTTAAGTTTTCTTAATGTGTTAAGCAGTAGGGTAAATAAATCTAGTCCCCATTTTTCCGTCTAGTCTAGAAATGGACACCCAAGATTCTTCCTCTTGATAGTCCAAAAAAGCAGTTGCTCTGATCCAAGAGTTCCTTTGTGGGGGGGAAGGGGGGGACAGATAAAACTGATTTCTTTTGAGTTACTTGGCCTGGAGTCACCTCCCACAGATATCACCCCTTCTTCCTGCTGCCATTCAGAAGCCTGAAGGTAATGACATAGGTAATGACCTATGAAGGTAATGACCTGTGCCTCCATCTGCACAGGTTTTTTAATCCTTCCTCGTACAGCTTTCATTCAGCCCTTTATGCAGTATTTCAGTGGGCAGCTGTGTTTAAAGAAACAAGGAAACGCCTCTTGTGTCTTTATCACTTGGGATCCTCCCACAGTGCCTGACATACATAGATGTTCATTGTTCACGGAACTGAACTGTGTCTGGGCAGGCATATGCGCGTCTTAACTTTTTAATTGTGGCATGAATTCCTTGAGTGCTTTGTGGTCTTATGGGATCTTATGTAGTTTTAGAGTCTAGCCGAGCACATAGTAGGCCTTCCAAAATGCCATGACTGATTGATGATGTAGAAGATTTCAGGTGGGGTATGAAACAAGATCCCATCTCTTTGCTCTTGCGCCACCTTTACAACCGCTCAACCATCTGGAAGTGGATCCCGGCCCAAATGCGAAGATTTCAGTTCCTGTGGTTGAGTTGTTTGCTTGGAACATGTAAGCCCGATGCAGGGGTATGGACCTCAGAAAACCTGGCTTCTGCTTTCGGTCCCCACTGCACCTCACTGAGAAATCTAGGGCCAGTCAACACCTTTCTGAGGTCTCAGTCTCCCTCCCTGTGGAACAGGGAAGACACCACCTATTCACAGGCTACTTTGAGAGTCAAATGTAGCACAGTTCTTGGCACATAGCAGGGACTAATACAATTTAATTGCGTCTCATTTTCATGAATTAGAAAAAAAATGAAAAGGAAAATTAAATGTTAGGAAGTAAACAACAAAATAAGGTTTAAGACTTACTTTGGATAGAGAATGGGGATTACTCACACATTTGGCCAGGTGAGGCCAGAACAGGGAGATGTGGTCGTTGTCTTTGATCTCTCTGGATTTTTGCTGGCAGACGAATGCTGTGCTGGAATTGTTATTTATTCGTGAGCTCGTGTGTGTGTGTGTGTGTGTGTGTGCGCACAGAGATGCATGCATACACACAATCTCTCCCTCTCTCTCTCCCACTCATACACACACACGCATACACACATACACACACACACACTTTATGGCTGCCATCTGTCCGACACCCGTTTGAACTGGCTGTTGAGATGCTTCCTCTGTTGCCCTGTATCCTTCCTCTGCCCCCAACTCCTTGGTTTGGTGCCCACTTTATCTCCTTCAGAGAAACCATTGCTCTGTTGGTTCTGGGACTCTATTGGGAAATCCAAACACAAGCAGCTTCCTGTTCCAGCTGTTTTGAGCAGAACGAAGCTTGTTTTGGGGGGGGGTGGCTGAATTCCCCGCATGCTAATCTGTCCTCAATATTAAAAACAGACGTTTGGTTCTTCTGCATGGCCTCATCGGAGCAACTGGCACGGGTCTCGGCCTCTTGGGCCGGGGTAGACACAGGGGGGTGGGGCTCAGAAGGGGGCTGAGGCACAAGGAGACTTAATGACTCCAAATCTGTTTGACCTATAAGGCTGAGGAAGGGGAGGGACTTGTCCAGAGGTTACACACATGATGGTTTGGCGGTAGAGTCGGAGCTAGAAGAGGGGCTTTGGTTTCTAGACCTGCTCTCCCCTCCAAGTCCAAACTTCTTTCCACCAGTCCTGTTGCCCCTGATGTGATTTGCTCTGGTTGAGCATAAAGCAAGAGGCAGATGGAAATTAGGGGACAGGAAGGGGTCTCTAGCCACCTGATGCCAGCTGGAGTGCTCTGACCTTATAGGGAATGTAGCCCTTCAGATGCCTTATTTTTTTTGTCATCAGAGCTTCTATGTATGCCAGCTTCCTAGAACCTTCAAACCCAGAGTGGAAGGACCTTGGGGATGGAGGTCAGTTTCTTCATTGTAAAGATCAGAAGAGTGGAGACAGGAATGGGAAGGGTCTCACCCAGGGTCATGATCTCCCACTGCACTCTCCTGCATCTTATTTTATCGTCTGCTGGGTTTTTCTTTAACCTTTTAAAAATCAGAGACTTCTGTCTTTCACCATGGGATTCCCAGCTTTAGCTTGTTTGGTTCAGGGCTGGGAGGCCAGCTGGCCCTGTTGGCCCTCACCGAGGCAGCAGGCCCTCCCCACCATCCCCCCACACCTCCTCACGAAAGGCAGCAACATCTGGAGCTGGTCAGTGCCCCTGTCTGTCCTGGCATCTGGGAGCCTGACGGTCTGCTCCCCAGATGATCAGCACCAGGCTCTCCTCCTGCCAACTCTC